TGGGATGGGATGGGATGCTGATAGATTTGAAAAAATGTAAATTAGATATACAAAAAAAATATTCGATATTGTTTTATAAATCATCTTATTTATTAGTTTTTATTTGCGAGATATATAAATTGATCATATCAATCCAATCAATTGATCCACCGATAACAAATGAAATAATTAATGAAATCAGCTGATAGGAAAAAAGGGTTCTAAAATCAAAAAATCTTGCTTATGTATGTGCCCGAAAATGAATGTTTGACAGATCTCTATAAATCAAAAAATACTTTCTAAAAAAGTAATATTAACAACAACATCATCAATAACATACACGTCAAACACCACCACACTATTGATTTTCAGTGAAAAATGATGGGAGAAAAGTGCTAGATAGGATAGAATTGAGAGCTTTTGTTGTGCTCAACGCACGCACACAAAAAAATACCCGTCATCATTCAATTTAGCAAAAGCAAACCTTGACAATTTTTTATCACACACACACATACAATTATCAGTTATTAATATGCAAGAGTAAAAAAATCTATCTAATATGCTATCTAAATGGATGATGATATAATATTAAGAGGGAAAAAGCAACCATAACCACCAACAGACCGACCGACCAAAGCACACAAAACACAATATCACTAGAATACTATATATACAATAGCAGCGCAACCACTACCACGATTCACGACGATATAATCTTTTTTTGTCTCATTACCTCACTTGACACTTTCCCAATTTAAAACCTTATGTGCAAAACGAATCAAGTACCTGAAAAAAGTATTTTATAGGGTTGTTATTAATTATTATTAATTTTATTTTCTTTGTTAGAAAGAGAACTGATTTTATTTCATTCCACTCATCAGTTATAATAATTAAAAAACAAGCAGTGTAGTATAACATATAATAATAATATAATAGTATAGTATAACATACAATGTCAAACTCATATAATTATCCTGCGAGAGAGCACAATCCAAAGCCTGGTGGCGGCGGTGGCAACAGCAATTACTCTTCAGAGCATCACCACCACCTTCACCACCAACAACAGCAGCAACCACAACAACAGCCTTCACCTCTTTCACAACACCAACAGGTGCCACCACCTCCGCAACAAAGAACTTCTCATTTACTGCCACCTCCCCCGTCAGTTTCAACCAACCCTTATGAATTGAATCGTCTGTTGAATTCGGACGATCGTGGTTTGCCTTCTACCTCAGGAAACCCTTACTCGCTCCCGCCTCTGCATGCTCACCCGGCATCCTTTCCGCAACATGGCATACCATATCCGTATCAAACACAGACATCTCCTAACGCTTCTCAGTTTAGACATACTGATTATCATCCGTTACAACATTCTGTTCAAAGACAACAACAACAGCAGCAGCAGCAGCAACCACCACCACCACCATCTCACCCTTCCCCATCTGCGTATTCGTCCTGGGAATATCCTAGAACGGTATTTTCGCCATCGGATAATTTTGTTATTTTGATTTCACGAAGTCCTCTTAGAAATAATAATACATTTGTCTTTTAGAATCAAACTAATCAATATAAAATGGATCATGGTAATTTCCTAAATTTTGTTTTAGCATTAATTATGCATTTCACTAAATATATATTGATACATATCATTAGTCTTATTGCCACCGACTAGTCAGACGCATTCATTCTATCAAGGTACATTAAATATTATCAAATTATGCAGAATATGAATGATATTATTAGTAATATTAACGTCAACAAACTTTATCATATAAAGTCCCGATTCCGCAACATTCAAATCAACAACAGCAACAATCACCATCATCTTCATATACTAGCAACCAGATAGCCCCAAGCTCGCATATTTTAGATCGTCCAATGTCTAATAACAACGTTCACACGACGAATTTGCACTCGTCCCCTTCGTCTGGTCAAAATAGTAACAATAACATGACGACGGAATCTGCTGCGCATCATCCCTATTCTCACTATCATCACCATGATAATCTTCAACAACATAATATAAGGGATCACGGTCGGACAGGGACAGGAAAGAAAGGGATAGCAAATCAAGAAGTACTTGAAAAAATGTCTATAAATCAGCTGCTAAGCGAACCATCTATCGAAGAAAAAAACTACGTATTTCTAAAATCGCAGAATGGTTCTTCGACTAGTAGTTCAAAGCAACACCCCCTTCATCATCATCAACAACAAAAAGATGATGATGACGATGACAACGATATATATAAAATGTCACGTCATCAACACTATCATACCACAACACCAAATCATAATGTACAAAATGCTCGTGAATATGGCAAAAATAATGACGAGAATGATAATGGCGAGAACGATAATGACAATGAAAGCGTCGAGACGGTGACTGATGTTGAAAAAAATGTGATAAAAGTTGAGTCTTCTGTAGAATCAAGTGACGAAGGAGAAGGGAAAAAAGATAAAGACGCAGTAAAGAAGCGGCGGCAAAAACATGAGCAAGTTAAAGAAGAGGAAAATGTAGTGATGGAAATGGACGAAGAAGGGGACGATGAGGAGCTACATGAAGTAGAAGATGAAAAGAATGAAGAAAAAGAAAAGAGTAACGGGCTGATGAAGGTAAATTTAAATGGATCTTGATAATTTATGTTCAATCTTTCATACTCTAAAAAATTATTTCAAATATAGGGATCAACACGAACTTCATTATCCATATCGGATCACGAAGACATCTTGCTTCCTTCGCTTGAAACCTACGAAGGCGCCAAAGATCCCCACGACTTGTTATCAAAAGATGCTGTTGCTACAGATTTGCAATCTAATTATAGCCCGTCGTCGTCTTCAATTTCACATTCACCGCTGGGCGTTGCGGTACAAGATTCACAAGCGACCCAGGATGACGATGAATCTCAAGATATAGCGGCTGATAATCGTCGTAAACTATCATCAAAGAAAATTGCAGCGACGAAAATTAATAATAATAGGTCATCTGATCCTCCATTATTGTTAATTTCGCAACAGGAGTCAAATGGCGTGAATAAAAAGAAAAAACAGCAACAGCAAACAAACATTAAACAGACAAAGAAAAGATCTGGGCTGGCTCAATGGCAGCAGGAAACGCAGCAAATTACACGTAAATCGCAACCGAGCCGACTAGTTAAGACTCAAAAATCTCAATTATCTCACCCGCCACCAACACAGCAGCCAGACTCCGAGTCTGACCAAAACGATGATGTTGATGATATGGATGGCAATGTCTCATCATCCGGCTCCTCAACAGTGACGGTTTCGGAATTGAAGCAACATCAACAACAATACGGGTCCAGTGAGTACACTGAAGAATCTAGTGCTTCGGAAAGCGAGAGCGATTTGGATATGATGGATGATTCAAAATATGACGAGGTTTTGGTGAATTATATGATTGATATATATCGCCGTCAGCAGCGGGTTATTGATCTATATAATAAGAGATGCAAAGAAAAGAAAGAAATATTAAATAAAAGATTTTTGTCACGTATCCAAAATCGTGAAGGATTTCTACGCGAACCGCAGCATCATCGTTTAAGATTACTAGCCAATAAAGAAAATCGTCGTACCTCACCCACGTCAAGGATTTTACGCAGTGGTTTTATTGAAAAATTAAGAATTTCTGAGAAAAGGAGAGGGCGTGGTGGTAGATCTGCTGAGGAGGAGGTATTTTGCTGTTTTATTATTACCATTTTTTATTTCTTAATATATTGAGATTAATATTGTTTTTGTTAATTTTACTTATTCAGAGTGATATTGAAAGACATCATCTGGTAAACAAGAAAATTGCCAAACAGCGTGAAGCTTATGAGGAAGAGGAACGAAGAAGGATCTGGCGGGACATTTGTCGAAATGCCATACCAAAGGTAAACATTTTGTATAAAATTAATCATTATTTAATATAAATCTAATTAATTGTTATTCGATATTATTAGATGACCAAAATTGTTAGTCAATCATATACTTCTCGAACAAACAACTGTCGAAAAATTGCACAACTGTGTCAAAAAGAAGCACGTAAAGCTGCACTAAAATCATGCAAGTCGACCAAAGACGTTCAAACGAAAGCTAGACAGGCTATGCGACAGGTGTGCTACTATAATGACATTATTACTTTTTCTTTTAAAATTTAAATCGTAAATTAATAATAATAATAATATAGATGTTAATATTTTGGAAACGAAATGAAAAAGAAGAACGCGAAATGCGTAAGAAAGCCGAAAAAGAAGCAATGGAGCGGATGCGTATCGAAGAAGAACGGCGTGAAGCGCAGCGACAAGCGCGAAAACTTAATTTTCTTATTACCCAAACTGAATTGTATAGTCATTTCGTTGGGAAAAAAATTGGCAGTATGTCTTTGGCTTGCTTCGTTTGCTAATTTCCGACAGAGATTAACCAATTTGTTTGACCCTTATTTAGCCGCAGCAGCAGAAGAAACGGCGGAAACTTCAGCAGCCGTGTCAACAGTCGAAGCTGAATCCTCTTCATCATCTTCTATAATGATGCTTGATACGGATACGAATTTTGAAACTAATATTGCGTCGAATAATGTTACTGCTTTCACGGAAATCAATTTCGATGAAGGTTTCTAGCTTTTTATTTTTTAATTTTCAACATTATTGCTGATGATAACTTTGAATTGATCGATTTTTCAATTTTGATAGAGGACGACGAAACATTAAAGGAAAAAGCACGTGCAAGTGCACAAAATGCGCTTGCGCAAGTAAAGGAACATACACGCCACTTTGATGACGAAAGACGATTATCTTCCGCAAGCAAGGAAATGTCGGTTTCTCAACAAGATTGTAAGTAATGAATTATATTTGATCCTATAATTGTTGCCAATATAGATCTGACAATACTTCAAATATACCCATTACATCTTTTTTATTACCCGCACAGTTGACCAAATGAACTTCCAAAATCCGTCGAGTATGCCCTCACTATCAGAAATTAAACAACCTAGTATGCTTATGTGTCAACTGAAAGAATATCAGTTGAAGGGATTGAATTGGCTTGCAAATCTTTATGAACAGGTATATATTGGACTATCCATCTGTCTTATTTGTTTGCTTTGTGAATTTATTTTCTCTAGCGTAAGTTAAGTTGAATAACTACTGATTTTACTAATACTTTCACGTCGATTATTTCTACACTAGGGTATCAATGGTATTCTAGCTGATGAAATGGTAACTTGTTATTTATATGGATAGTAAGTTTGTATAATATCTTTATCGTTTAATTAATAATTAAATATAATTTTTAGGGCCTAGGAAAGACCGTCCAGTCGATATCGTTAATGGCACATCTAGCAGAGGTAGTTTAAAAAGTCTCTGTTTTTTGATAATTTATTTAGTTGGCTCTGTTCTCAGTAGATGCTTTAAATCAAAAATTAAACATAATTCGATCATTTAAATAGACACATAATATCTGGGGTCCTTTCTTAGTCATTGCGCCATCATCAACGTTGCATAATTGGCAACAAGAAATTACAAGATTCGTTCCGGCGTTAAAGGTGAGTTTTGTAAATAAAAAAGCGTTTGTGTCAAGTATGTTATTTTCTTCAATTATTTATTGTTATCATATAATATAGCCACTTCCATATTGGGGAAACCCTAAAGATCGTCAAACACTACGTAAATTTCTGAATAGGAAAAATCTTGTATATTCCAAAGACGCGCCGTTTCATGTTGTAATCACGAGTTATCAATTAGTAAGTATTCGAGAGCTAACAATTGAAATAAAATTTTTGACCATGCTCAATTTAATAAATTTTGATTTATAAAATAGATTGTTCAAGATAAATCCTATTTCGATAGGACAAAATGGCAATACATGGTTCTCGATGAAGCACAAGCAATAAAAAGCTCGTCAAGCGCCCGTTGGAAAACGCTTCTTGCATTCCAATGCCGTAATCGCCTCCTACTAACAGGCACACCAATTCAAAACAGCATGCAAGAACTATGGGCTCTCCTACACTTTATAATGCCGACACTTTTCGACTCGCATCAAGAATTCAGCGATTGGTTCTCAAAAGATATCGAGAGCCACGCGGAAAACAAAGGATCATTAAACGAGCACCAGTTGCGCCGGTTACACATGATTCTAAAACCATTCATGTTACGTCGAATAAAGAAAAATGTGCAGAATGAACTTGGTGATAAGATTGAAGTGGAAGTGTTTTGTGAGCTGAATGCGCGACAACGAATGTTGTATCGTGGCCTTCGTGAAAAGATTTCGGTCGCTGAGTTATTGGAGAAAGCTACTTCGTTGAATGAGAATGAGAGTGTGGACAGTTTGATGAATTTGGTGATGCAGTTCCGGAAAGTTTGTAATCACCCGGAATTATTTGAGAGGGCTGATGTGGTTGCGCCGTTGGCTTTTTGTGATTATAGTTCTACGTTTATGATTGCAAGAGAAGCAGAATTTATGTATATTCCGTATTCGTCGAAAAATGTGATTTCTTATCCTATTCCTAAGATAATTTACCGGAACGGAGGTATGTGTGAATTCTTGGATTTTTTATAAATGCTCTATATCATAGACTAAAAAAATGTATGCATAATGTAATATCATAGGGATGTTAAATGTCCCTGGTCACGGCTCAAAAGCAGGTTTTGACACTAAATATCTTGACCACTTGATGAACATATGGCAACCGGGTTATATTCAAGAATCATTAATGGGTGAAGCTAATGGTGAATATTATTAATTACATTAGCCATCTTGTTGTTGACCAATTATCTTTATCTTAAAAATTCTAAATATTTTTTGAATCTAGATACTTTT